TATATATATATATATATGGATCATGTAGACATTTCTTTCTTGCGACTTATTCCTTCATAAAAAGCTTTCTTGCACCATTACCAGGGTGTTAAAAGATGTATTGATCTATTAGGTTGTAGATTGTAAGCTCTAATGAACAGGGCCCTTCTAATCTTTTTGTATGGTATTGAATTGTAATTGAACTGTCTCCCCATATGTTGCAAAGCGCTGCCCAAACTTTTGGTGCTATATAAATCCTGAATAATGAAAAAAATCCATTAGTCCAAAATCTGATTCTAAATATTACTCAATTCTCAATTCAATTCTCTGTTTGCAGTTGAAATGCAACAGCTCAAATACTAATGGATAATAGGATTCCTTCAGTTTAACAATTGCTTTGTCTGGATTAATTTTATCCCAAACCACCAACGTGATTTACAGAAGACCAACATGGTTATTCACAAAAGGGTGAACTGTTTGTAGAAGGCAGGAGAAATTAACAATCTTGGACAACGTAGCTGATTTGGAAAAATTCTCCAATTCAGCTCACTTTCCAGTTCAGCTATGTTGTCCTAGATTGTTCACTTCTCCTGCCTTCTCCAAACTCTTTTATGAATAACAATGTTAGTTTAAGTTTACAACTTTATTTTTTCAACAAGAAAATTTTTTTCCTTAATAGGACTCCTCTTCCTCAGCAGTTCATAGTTTAGTAGATCTGAACGGTAAAAAGCCAAGCTTTCTTGGATATTTATGAGCTCTGTTCCTGCATGAGAGGTACTGTTAATCACAATGACGTAGTGGAGGAGGAAGGCTTTCCATTTACTGCAAGGAACATAGGCAAATGTGCCTGTAAAGGTTCTTATTTATCCAAGTCATGGTAAAGCTAGTCATAGCTACATTCAACTGGCCAAGTACAAATGGTCTGCTTGTGCATCAACATTTCATTGTGTGACATATTTCAATCCATGCCTTCAAGGGCAAATGGGGAAATGTTTGTTTTCCCATGTTTGGGGTAAGTTTGTATTGCCGATATATGCATTCTCTTGCAAATGACCAAATGTTGCTTTGGAAATCCCAATAATTGTTTTTGTTTTTTTTTACTGAAGAGTGGCTTCCCCAGCTCCAATAAGTGAATATGTGAAAATTATAACTAAAGAATATAGTACAGCAGTCTTAAGCTGGCCATACACCTTACGAATATCGGCCGATTTTCGTATGCAATTGCGTTTTCGTCCGATATTAGTAAGGTTGATGGGCAGTGTACAACCGCAAATACTGTACAATCGATCGACTTTTGAATAACCAGCAGGTTAGAAAACTTCGGTCGATCGTACGATTTTCGCAAAGGTTTGTGGTGTTTCTATACGTCAAAATTCGTACGATTTACATTGCACATGCAGACGAAAATACGTGCGGTCGATTACAGCAATTCGTCCAGGTGCTTTTCTGTTAATTACTGCTGATTCAACCTTGCGATAATCGGGGCAGGATGGAGATGAAAAGTTTAATCCGATGATCGCAAGGTGTATGGGCAGCTTAACACAGAAGAACTCAAGTCTCACACGTCTCACATCCCTTTCAATCAAGGGATACAGTGGTGTCCCCTCTACACCCTAAGCCACCCTACTGGACAGTGAATAAGCAGCAGGAGACTGATGAGGGCATGTCTCTGCTCACTATACACTTTCGTGCCATCAGCATGTACACCTGATTGGCTCCCCGTACTGCCCCTCCCTTTGCCTGTGAGTGGGGCTGTAAAAACACTTGCAAGGTGCTAATACTAAGATAGGATATACACGTGTAGATTTTTCGCACATTCGTACGAACATTCCATAATACCATCAGAGACCTGGTGATTGTCTCTGTCTTCTAAATTTTGTTTGATTTTCATTTAACATTCGATTTTGGAATGAATGGAGTTTAGACTGAAAACCAGATCCACTGTTAGAATTTATGTTCGATCCAGAACATTTCTTTAACATGCTCTTTTGAATTGCAACCATGATGAGTGGATTGTGGGTGCAATGCTCTGGCTCCTGCAGACTGTTCCTCCCATCCATGTCCTTACAGAGGTACAGACATGGATGGAAATAATTGTTAATGGACTACAAGTGCTGTGACATCACCACACTCGTATTCTATTGAAATGATGTCATTCTGCCGCAGTGGCAGATGGGACTTGGAGTTCCTCAATTCCTGCCAATCTGCGAATGGATTAAGTGGCTGTGTGGGGAGAGCCACACACAGCTATGCCAAATTCAAGCAGCAGCAGCCTGCAGGGATAAGAACCCCACGATTAAGGTAAGTGGGGGGACAGGAGGAGAATGAGGGGGGTCTGCAATCTGAACATGTCCCATTTTATACCCTAAAAATGGATGTAACATAAGGCATGCTCAGAAACGTGCAATTAACCATTAAGCAAAAGAATGGAGTGTTTTCCCCATGTATTGCCTCTTCACATACTGTACATACACCCAAATTCCATCAACGGAAGACTGACACCAAACCTAAACTAAAATATGTGCGGTCATTTCTAAGTAAACTTTTTCTAGGTGAACCTAGTAAAACAACTCTTCAGCAGATTTACTTCAAATAGAATTCTACCTGACAGCCCGATGGTCACATTTCTGACAGCATGGCAGTTAAGAAAGCTGTAAGCACGTATAAATGTTAAAAAAACTTGGCATTAGGTACAGAATTTTATTACCATGCATGGAAAATCTCAGCCACATACACTGCCTGTCCAAAAAAAAAAGGTCACACTAATATTTTGTTGGACTGCCTTTAGCTTGGATTACGGCACACATTCGCCGTGGCATAATTTCGATAAGCTTATGCAATATCACAACATTTACTTCCATCCAGAGTTGCATTAATTTTTCTCCAAGATCTTGTAGTGATGATGGGAGAGTTAGACCACTGCATAAAGTCTTCTCTCTCACATCCCAAAGATTCTCAATGGGGGTTAAGGTCTGGACTCTGCTGTGGCCAATCCATATATGAAAATTATGCCTCATACTCCCTGAACCACTCTTTCACAACCTGAGCCCGGTGAGTCCAAGCATCAGAGTAGAAAAAATCCATTGATGGAAAAACCTGATCATTGAGTATATTCAGGTAGGCAGCTGAGCTCATTTTTTGGGGAGATAAAGTTGCCGAACCTAGACCTATTATCAAATGGAAGGCTCTGACCTATTTGCTTAGTTAAATCCAGGGGACCATTTTTTTTTGGGATAGGCAGTGTATTTATGATTGCTTCCTTCTCTACTGAGGGAACACTTTGCTTGCCTAACAATCTTCAAAGTTGAAAAAACCCATGTAAGCGTGCCAAGACAGGTTCTGTGGTACAGCAACGCAAGGAAAAGGAATCTGGACATCTAAGGGCAACCCCAAGTTGACAGTGAATGTAGGGATGAGGCAATTTATAACTGATGACTAATTATCTGAACCTCCCTTCACCTAATATTGCACAACCGCTGCTCAGCACATGTTGGGAGACCACTGGGAGTAAGGGAATTTGGGGGGGGGGGGGTTATTGAGTTATCTCAGCAAAGATAAAAAGAGCCATGGTGGCACTGACTTCTCAGCAAAGATAAAGAGCCACAAGATCCTGAAAGGCCACTGATTGTCCTGGAAATTGTCACATGCTGTCATATTCAGCTGTATTGTGGGACAATCACTTGGCCACTATTGTAGCTGGAATCACTCACATTTTTGCTACCCAATTATAATTTTACAGGTATTTTTATATGATTTATAGTCATATAAGAAACAGGATGTTATACTTTCACTAACTCTGTTAAGCTGACTGACTGACTGTTCTGTTTAGGAATAAATGAGATTGCTACACAGTGTGGCAATACAATGCAATGAAATTACTTAGACTTTGATGCCACTATGGCCTTCGGGTCTTCAGGAATAAAATAATCTGAATGAAGGACCGCAACTCTGTTGAAAAGGATGACTGTTGGCCCTTGGGGGGCAAACACAACTAGAAGGTCCTTTCAATCATAGCTCCTAACTCTATCTTTTAGATAATCCCAATCATTAATTAGGAGGTACTATTCCTCTTTTAGAACTAAATCCCTCTTTCCATTTCTGTTGTCCCTCTGTTTGGTCTGATGTATAAATTAAATCACTATAAAAACCATGTTAGTTAAATACCATGTAAAGTGTGCCTTGGTGCCACATTAGTGGGCATGGTGAAAGTTGGATGTACCTAAAGGACATACAGAAGGGAATTTATCAAAGCTGGAGCGGACAAAATCTAGAGCAGTTGCCCAAGGCAACCAATCAGCTTCACTCTTCAGTTTGTTCAGTCAAGATTTTATAATGAGAGAGAAGCTGATTGGTTGCCGTGCACAATTGCTCCAGATTTTGTCTACTCCAGTTGTGATAAATTCCCCTCACAGTATATTGTATGTTGTGGCACAACTTTTCACATCTTCCAGCATTCCCTTCCTTTGTGGCTCTCATCATTCAGTCATATGGCATATCAGAGCCACAAAAGAAGTTGGTGTTGGAAGACTTCATTTTGCCAGGCCCTCTGATCACAAGTGTGAACAGGGAGCAAATATAGTTATATAATGCCCAGCATAGATCACTGACTGCAGGTCCTGCTGTGCTTGAAGTCTGAAAGGTTCTCCGTTCAGGGCCACCAGCCTATCATATCCTATTAGAACTGGCCTAGGGAACAAATGCCCCCTACTCCCAAGTCCAGTCCTCCCCTGCTGTGTTGCTTACAACTGATAACCTTTCATGAAAAATGGGGATTCCGTTTTGTTGCTGTGGGCAACACAACCAGTCCTTCCTTACAACACTGTAGGCCCTATTTGTTTCACACAGAGGGCCCATATTTGGTTCCACCCATCAAGTATGGCATTCAGCCTGGACTGACAGCTTGGCTATTAATGCAACTGCCAGAAAGACATATGTGCCTGGGTTATTTGTATCAACTCCAGTGGCACTGGGTTTATAAAAGCTGGTCAAATACATGGTTATAGACTGTTGAGATTTGTATGTTTCTGTACTTGCTGAAAAGGTTCTTAGCCTGAAAAAGAAAACTAAAGCAGCCACCACATCTAAAGACTGGACATGTTCTGCAATGTTGAAGATGTTTCACTGCTTATCCAAGCAGCTTCCTCAGTTCTAATGAGTGTCATGAACATACCCAGAATGTATACTCCCATGGATAACTCAGTCACCTTCATCCAAGAACCATAAAAGGTGTCAAGGCAAATGTTGATTGTCCACATGGTGGTGTAAGGTTTGTAAAAACACCCTGTTATAATTAAATAATCCAACCAAGATGATGCCATGATGTCACAATCCAAGGTGTAGACCCAGTTCCTTGATGCGTCTGCTTTTCCTGGGGGTAGAGTCTAAGAGATAGCTGGTAATCTGCCAGCGAGACGCTCACTTTAGCTGCAACCTATCTCCAGGTCCCTCAGACGTGGAGGGGGGGTAGGTGATGGTGAGCTGGCACGTGATAGTGGTGATAATGAAAGCATGGTAGCACTGGTAGCTTCGGTAGCAATGAAAGCATGGGAGCACTGGTGGTACTGGTAGCTTCAGTAGCGATGAAAGCATGGTGGCACTGGTAGCTTTGGTAGCAATGAAAGCATGGGAGCACTGGTGGTACTGGTAGCTTCAGTAGCGATGAAAGCATGGTGGCACTGGTAGCTTCGTTCGTGATGAAAGCATGATGGCACTGGTGGTACTGGTAGCTTCGGTAGCAATGAAAGCATGGTGGCACTGGTAGCTTCGTTCGTGATGAAAGCATGATGGCACTGGTAGCTTTGGTAGCAATGAAAGCATGGTGGCACTGGTGGGACTGGAAGCTCTAGTAGCACTTTCAGCAAGGTAGCACTGGGAACAAGCACTGATAGCAAGGCTGCACTAGTGGCATGATTTGCACAGTTAGCAAGGTTGCACTTAAAGGAGAACTATGAGGTGAGTGCTTTTCACTCACCTCATAGTTCTAGCCGACCTGTGACAATGAGACTGTCACATGTCGGCTCAGTAGATCGGGAGGTGAGCGAACACATAGTGGGTTCCCTCGCCTCTCGATCCTGTCACGGCTCTCTGCCGTGACAGGGGGAGGGGCTGGATTCCCCTCTCCCCGCTCCGATCTGCCAGCGCTGACTGGCGGAACGGACGGGGGAGGGGGCGGGTACAGCTGGCTCTGCCTCTAGATAGGCAGAGCCAGCTGTCACTCACGCAACTGGGCGGACCCCGTCAGCTAAGTCGTGATCCGTTCCGGCTGCGGCGTCTCAGTATACCGCGAGCTGTAGCTCGCGGTATGCTGAGCTTAGGGTAACGGGAGGACGCTAGTTTGTGTCCTCCCGTTACCCTAAGGAGAACTATGGGGAAAAACACTGACCCCATAGTTCTCCTTTAACTCAATGTTTACATAGGAGTTACCAACATGTAACATGTCATAATAGAAGTCACATGATGTGGCCACGACACTCCTGGAAGTGCTCATGGCTGTGGGAGACAAATGAGGTGCCGGCACTGCTGCATGATAGGTATGTAACTATGACACATGAAGTCAGGGAGAGGTGGTAATTGTTCATTCCATAGTAATGGAATTAGGGTGACTGAGTTACCCGTGCGGCATAAATGCTGAATATTTTCCTGACACTGATAAGAACTAAAGGAGTGGCTTGGATAAGCAGTGAAACATCTTCAACATTATAGAACAAGTCCAGCTGACCGTAACTAACAATAAATAGTTATACAATGACCTGGAAAAATGAGAAACTTCAGACATATTACAACTAGTGTAATATCTGAATTTGACTTGAAACACCCACTGGAATCCCTTGTATAGCAACACTCAGACTGGGAGAAGGAGGAGTGAATCAAAGAGTGGAATGACCTCATCAGTATGCTGCTGCTCCTTCACTCTCCAGTCAGCAACATTAGGCGTGTGTTATGACCAGTGTTTTTGACCAGGCTATGGCTCTGCTGCAGGGCATGTTGAGGACCTGGCTGTGCTGTCTGGCAAGGGTACCTGAATCACAAAACTGGCTAAATGCAATTAAAAATCCTTTGGAAGGGAACATTGTCCCCAAATATCTATTTCAGCTACATATTTAGCGGTTTGACTGTAGCCCAGTTGTAACACCTCTTCCAATGCCCCCTCCGTATACAGCCCCCCTCTTCTCCCGTAACACTTTTATTTTTTTAAAGATGATACAGAATTAATCTTATAGTTATTCAGTAACAAATCTTACCTATCCACCTCATAGTATTCCAGCTGGACTGCAGAAGCAGAGATGTAGAAGCCTGGATTTTACGGATTACTCTGTAAAGACAATAATACAAGGTTAGCTAAGAGAATCACGTTCGCTGAATATTAATTTTCTATTGTCCGATTTTCCACCTTCAGCTGAACTCCGGGCAGATAAAAAAGCACTCATTAATACAGCTCCTAATTCATTAATACATCATTAAATGATTTGTTTTTATGCCAGCAGTGTAAGTACCTGCATTGCACTTGATTTAAGCCTCTTGCAGTCCCCAGTGCAGTACAAAGAGCCAACCAGTTCTGCTGCAATGCAAGAAGTATGCTGATAAGAGGAGAGAGCAAAGTGACAGAGAGGTCAATCTGCTGCTTCTTTTCTGTCCAGTCACAGGATGGGGGAGGGACAACACCTGTGGGTATTACTACAAAGCAGCAAAAATCAAGCCGCCTGGGTCACTATGGCACTGGCTGTCGTGTGATTGGAACGTGCCGCTGTCCAGATCAGTGACAAGCTACGTGATCTGTGCAGCGGCGCGTTCCCCTCACAGCTGCTGCTGAGTCAGTAACAGCCAGCAGCTGCGGTGGAGGCCAGGCCCGATGGAGGAGGCGGGGCCCGCTGGTGTTCTATCAAGGTATGTGACTGCGGTCAGACATTTTAACCTAATCCCGCCCAGTTTTTCGGCAGTGGAATGTGTGACTGGTCACATTTTAACGTAATCGTGCCCACTTTTTTGGCGGTGGAATATGTGACCGGCAAAGGGTGAAGAATTCCAACGCTTTCGTCTTAGCAAAAATGTCATATTACGTTAAAAAAAAAAAAATCTTTGACAAAAAAAAAAAAAATTCCAACGCTTTCTCAGCTGTTCCAGGGCAGATCGGCATCACAAGTGGTATGTGCAGGAGAAGCAATCTGCCCTGGAATAGCTGATCGGTCCTGAAATGTCACTTCTATCCGACTTTGTGAGTGCGATCTGACTTTCCACAAAGTGGCATTTCAGGACCAATCAGCTGTTCCAGGGCAGACTGCTTCTCCTGCACATGCTGATCTGCCCTGGAACAGCTGAGAAAGCGTTGGATTCTTCACCTTATGCCGGGCACATATTTCACCGCCAAAAAAGTGGGCGGGATCGCGTTAAAATGTGTGACCACGTGACCGGTCACACATTCCAACCAAGTTACAATCTCTGATAGAACACCGGCGACCGAGGAGGAGGCGGGGCCTGGTGGTGGAGGAGGATGACGGCAGATTGGGGCTAACACGTAAGAAGTATGCAGGGGTGTGACCAGCCCACCTGAGACCCTGCAGAGCCCACCATAGTCTGACATTCCACATGTCAGACTAACTAGAAATCACAAAATTTGGCTATGGGGCCCTGTGATTTCTAGTTACGCCCCTGCTTGCGATGACTAACCTCAGCCGCCTTCTCCAAAAAGGGGTTATTGTGGGGTGTTGGTACTGTCCTGGCATTTTTATTTGATATGTTTATAACAGAAAGTAAATTAAGGATTCAGTATTTTTTCCTTTATATAGTTATAAATGTAAAAAAACAAAGCCGTTATTAAATACTTTATGTACCACCAAAAGAAAGCTCGATCTGTGAACTGAGAATCCTTCTATAATACAACTTTAGAAACAATGATTGGACTGTTCTTTACTTTTGCTGAATGATTAACTGGATTATAACTCAATGAGTAAATATAACACAGGTTTGCCTAAACGTGTTTAACAGAATCTGCATAAATATTTCACCAGTTAATGAGGACGGAGGTAATCATGGTAATTATGAGAATAACGAAAGCAGTTGTCATATCTTGATGGAACAAGCACTAAAGAAAGAAACGCCTCCAGAAAATTCTCTTTGCTCTATTAATATAAAATCAACTCCAACAACAAGCAAACACAAGGAAATGGTGATTCTATTAAAAGAACACAATAACTGTGCTAAAACACACTGTACCTGTAATTTGATGTATATAACCCCTTACAGTAAGGTTCTTACAATGGTTCATCATGGATTGCTGCAACGATATTAGCCAAGTGTGTGTGTTTATACAATGAGAAGACGCTCCTTGTTCCAGCCTCATCTTTGGGCAACAATAGAGATTAACTGAGAAAATCCAATCCAGCCAATCAACACTTTCCCCCAGTTTATTGAGAGGTTATCTGCAGAGGTCACATGGTGCACCAAGCCCTGGTGCCCAGCTTTCGGACATGCAGCTTTTGCAGGTACTTAATGTGTGGCCTTCAAGCCTCAGCAGCCAGTACTGGGATTAGGTGCATGGATTAGTAAAGGCGTGTGGCATATCCAGGATATGGCACATATTGCACATGCCCTGGGCACCACTTGAAGGGGGGGGGGGCACCGCCTTATGGGTCAGCAAAAGTTTGCCTACCCACCGAGACAGCTGACTTTTTTTCTGACACATTTTCCTGCCTGCCTCTTAGCAGCTAGGGATGCTCTGTCTGGTGTCCTGCCCAGCTCCTGGCAACCAGTGATGTCACCAGTTGCCAAGAGCTGAACGGGACACCAGCCAAAGGGTCCCAGCTTGGTAAGAGGTGGGCAGGGAGATGTATAAGGGCCATACAAATCTCCCGGTCGAGCTCTTAGCAACCAGAGCAGGCGCGGAGATGTGCATGCGAGTGGGATGCCGGCCAGAGTGTCTCAGGTTGCTAAGAGCCATACAGGGACATGTGTATGGCCCTTACACATCCCCCCCCCCCATTCAGATCTTAGCAACCTGGGACACTCTGGCCAGCATCCCGCACATTTCCTGGCAACCAGTGACATCACCAGTTGCCAGGAGCTGGACGGGATGCCAGGGGTGCAATTTGTTGTTGATGTGCCTCTTAATGCAAGTAATCTCTAACACTCGTGTTGGTTCCCATCTCCAACCACACTAAAAGCAAGTCTGCAGGCTGCGACACTTTATTGGAGTAAATCTACAGTCTTCTGCAGCATTAAATATGCTTATTTTTATGTGACCCCTTGGGACATTAATTGAGACCCCCATATCTATTACGTTGACCACTATGAAATTATCTTCTATAAAATATTTAAAGGTCAAGTTTGCCTTTCTGACTGTATTTCATGTTATACCCATATTCAGGGATTAACATGAAACATGGTAACATTCCCCAACCCACCCCTCCCCAATTTACCTGAATTGCGGATTTATTCTACCCGCAGGCTGCAGTCAGAATTTGAATTCACAAGCCCAGCCACGTAATCCATTCACAGATCCTTTGTATTTAAATGAGAACTACAAGTCCCTCTGCTGCCATGGCCGATGGAGCTGTGTGGGTGAAGCCATGCACAGCCACATCATTTTTAAACAATAGCAGCAGCCTGCAGGGAGAAGAACCCCACAATTCAGTTAAGTGGGGGGGGTGGGGGGAGGCAAGATTGCGATGTGACCATATTTCATGCTACACCCTGAATATGGGTGTAACTTGAAACCTGGTCAGAAAAGTTAACTAGCCTTTAAATTGGTAGGTCTCCTAATCTGTCAATGTCAGATTTACTATTTCAGGTTTCCTATGACCAAAATTCCATCCCTGACCCACACTCTCCCATTGGCACCTATGTATTAAAAAATAATACAATCTACATTTGGCCTAAATACAGTTCTGGATAACAGATACAGTACTTGACAGATTAAGTATATGGCTGGGGTGTATCGGCATCTAATTGCAAGGAAGACACACCCGATGTGATGTACAATTTAAATTGCAACAATCCTGTTGGCTTAAGTAAGATAATAGAAGATTACATAGGATCATAGGCATAGCACACTCTGATATATACTGTTAATAATAGGTACCATTATGTAATAGAATAGAAGATCAAACATCAGAGGTTTTAAAATCAAGCTGTGCCCAGGCTGTGGACCTTGTGAACAAGCAGTTGTATCATGGAGAATTGATGATTTTTGCTGAATCACACAGTCAAATGTCTTACCGTATTATACTAAATAGTGTGATGTTTTCTGTTTTTGCTATATTATGAAATAGTTCTGAAATAGATCATAGTTAAAGTGACATTAAAGGATATCCCCCCCAATGCGTGTGCAAGGCCTCTTGATCCGATCATCATCTTCTTTCTAGTAGTTTTCAGGAGTCCAGCGCTGGTGCCGGTCTCTTCCTGTCCCATGGAGTCTGTGCGGGTGCACGCTTCCGGGCTGCCTGCATTGACTTACCCTGTTTCTCTCCTCTTCTCCTAGCCGACGATCTGTACTGCGCATGCGGCCGCCCTACCATCCTTTGCGGCTGCACAAGATTTTTCAGATCTTCGGACAGGAGAGCGCGGCGGAGACACAGGTAAGTTTTAACCTTTTTCGTAACTTTTTTTCCCCTATGTTTTTGCATATATCTACTGCTTGCTAAGGGTTTAAATATCCTTTAAGACGGCTTGGTAAATGTGACCACATCCAGATCATCTAGATCAGTGGTTCTCAACCTGTATAACCTCAGGACACACATTTGTCCTTGGTCATTAAGTCGCAACCCAAACTGCACTGCACTGGAATGCACGGCATTGCGGTACCATATATTCCAGTGCAAGTGTTCAAACTGTGGGTGGGAGGTGTGTTTGGGGTGCCATTCAAATGAAAAAAAAAATTTAAGGGTACAGTGTGGGCTGCTGTGCTGTGACACAGCTCCGTCCATATGTGCATTGCTTGTACAGCTTCCTTGCACTCTCTGTAGAGGTGCCGGGAGGCAGAATGTGATGTAACTCTGGTCACGCAAGAGAGCTGTAAGCAATGCATGTATGGATAGAGCTCCCTCCCATTCATACCCCAGCCCACCACCTCAAGCTAACACTTGGTGCAAGGCTTCATATTTTGAATGGCTGCTTGGCATGAGAACTGACACTGCTGCTCTATGGGGGAGGCTTAGGAGCCTCTCACCTAGTGCACTGGAAGGCATGCGGCGACCCACTGAACATGGGGTCATGACCAACCAGTTGAGAACCATGGATCTAGATCATCTTCAGAACAGACCAGATTGTTTCCAGACCAAAAATGCATCCTAATGTATCCCTATGCAATTTCTGGACTCAGTGCA